TTCTCAGTGAAGACCTGCGTGTTCATTTGTCGGAGTGCTTAGTGTTATCAAAATTTAATTACTTGGATGTAGTGTATGGGCCGAGATTATATGCCAAAACCGCAAAAGTCATCCAGAGGGTGCAAAATGCGTGTGCGCGTTTTTGCTTTAAAATACCACCCCGACATCACATTACTCCGTATTTAAATAAAAATAATATATTAAAAATGACTCGTAGAAGGGAATTACACTTGGCTGTGCTACTATTTGGTATTAACAAAAGTGGCATTCCAAATTATCTGTACTCAAAATTGGAGTGGAAAACTGGTCGTAGTGGGTGTGGAGTTCGTGGAGTCTCTTTCATTCTTCATACGCCTTGCCACAGGACAGCAGCGTTTAGGGGTAGTTTTAGATACAGTGCCACAAAATGTTGGAATGATCTACCACCACCAATGCGTGATTTTAATACTGTGCACAGCTTTAGATCGAAGCTAAAAAATATTTTAATCAATAAACAGAAGTCAAATATATGAAATTAATTATTAAATGTTGTATTATTGTTTTTACTATTAGAAATCGGAATTCATAGCAGAATTAATAATCATTATTGTTTTCCTCTATTATTACTACATTCCTATAAGTAATAAATAATATTTTAATTTCTATTGGTATTAATTGGAATTCATTGTTATACATATCGACTTAAATGATTTAAATACTGACATATATAAATAACCTTATAGCATAATAATACTCAGTCACCTGTGTACAAATATAACATATTTGACACCCTTAAATAAAGTGGAGAAATTTAAATTTTGGTGAAAAAGATTTCGCCCTTGTGAAGGCAGATAGGTATACATATATTTATGGTATATTGATGTGTGTTCGTATTGAGGTATATTATATATATATATTTTTTTTTTAATATTATTTATGTATATGTAAGTGTATATTATGATACTATGTGTGTGGTATTGTATGTTTATTAATTGGGTACTTATGATTAGCACTGTTTTTGTTTTCTTTTTATTTTGATTTGGCCCAGCGGGGCGTCACCACACCACCTAAGGGGGCCAACTGAAAAGCGACGCTGCAGTTAACTGCAGCACATGTCGAGTTGGCACCTTTTAGACACCACATCGGATGCACTCTATAAGTTAATAGTAATTTATTAATTTCTTTTGCAAAATTGCATGTGTGTGTGTTTAATAAATGATTTTTCTTCTTCTTCTTCTTGATGCAGTTTTTCCCAACAACAATATTGCTTGCATTGACATTTAAGTATTAAGTTAATCGAATTGGTTGACGTTCGATTTCACAACTCCGTACGGAGAAATTCGTTGCAACTTAAATTATCGAGACAATATATAACTAACTATAAATATGTCAGTAAAAACAATTATTACACCAAAACTAATAATAAGAACAGAACTTAAGCTGAAAATCACAAATTTGTCTGCTTCTATAACGCTTTATTGATAAACATTTTATATTAAATTTGGCTAGTTATAGGTATAGAAAATCAAATAAAAATAACTAGAAAACGAGCATAAAAATTCGAGAAATTCGGAATGTCAGTGTGTTCAATATTTGCGGCTTGGAATTATATAGATGATCGGCGAGTCAGTAAGTCTAGTTGTAATATTCTGTGTTAAGTGTTAATTTTGTGGTTTTTTATTCGCCACAATCATTAAAATTCATATTTATTTTCACAAAATGCTTGGTCTTCATAGAGCAATAATTTTAGTTATTTTGCGGAAATGACACTACAATTTTGACCTCGCCTCGCCGATATTTGAGGTCACCTATTAAATATGCTCATGTGCAGATAACAATATGACTGCCTAATAGGAATTTCGGGAATTCATTAAGCATTGACACTGATTGAACCAATCAGGCTTATGCCTATAGTACACCGCTACCGCGTCGCGAGGGCGAACGCCGTTTTGTTAATATTTCACTGATGAATCTTTATTACAGTAGGTATTTACTCGAACCATGAGTTGTCTCACGCATGTCCATTAGTATAATTGTGAATTTATGATATCTATCAAATTCTACATCTAGTAAGTATCTGTAACACCTGCTATGTACTACCCACACACAAATTCACACGTACAAACGACAACAAATCTTGCAACAGTCAACAACATCAATTACATGGATGTCTTGAAATTATGTCAGGCGCCAAAAATTGGTAGTCAATAGTAACTCCAGGAGGAACCAATACAGAGATACAAGATAATAAATTTTTGGGCGTTTACAAACTCAACACGTTATCAAGCTCCTCATAGCCTTTGTCATTCGCGTATCATGTAGCTGCATCTGTAGGTGGGCCTATTCACTGCAAACAAATAATCTAATCTTTTCCAATTATAACACTATTTTTATACGATGTTACTTTTTATTAAATATTGTACAGTTCGTAATGAAAAAATCATCAGTCCCAGGTACTCTGGGATGGGCCCCAACACAGAGAACCTGGGGCTGGAGGAAAATGTTTAATGAGATAAAAAGTATAATAATATCTAAGTCAGCTAATACCCTATCGGTAATACCAAATTTTATCAAAATCCGTTCAGTAGTTCCGGCGTGATTGACAGACAAACATCCAAATATCGAAACAAAGAAACTTTCACATTTATAATATTATTAGGATAGCATAAGCGTTAACAAGACAGTAAACAAAAACGAAGCGAAAATGTGTTAGGCTTTCTTGTAGTTTTATCTTTCTGTGTGCTACATGCTTAACGTTCAATGTAATAAACCCTTCCACCTAAAGTTAGATTAGTGTTGATGTTCAAAGTTACGGAGATAAGACGAACGGTTTGTTATGTAAGTTTCGATGAGATTCTTATAAAGTGTTTTACCTGAAACTTTTTTATTTTTATCTGAATTCGATGCAGTATAAAGAAGAACTACTTACAATATTTCGCGAACTTATTAAACTTAATTCAAGTGTTACATTCAGATTTAATGGTTTTAATATTACAGTTATTATTTTATACTAACGAGGAGCTCGATGGCGCAGTGGCTAGCAACTTTCGCAATGACCGGTCATAGGATGGGTGACCAAAAATTTATTATCTTGAATTCCTTCATGCTTTGGAAGGCACGTTAAGTCGTTGGTTCTGGCTGTGGCTACAGTTGTTAATACCCTCCAATTGGCCCGCGTGGAAGGTCATGGGCCATCGTTCTTAATCATACATAAAGAAGGCCTGAGCCTTTGCAGTGAGGGCGTAACAGGCCTGATGATGATGATGATTAAGTTTACGTGGTAATCATTACATGGTCGGCGGTCAGGAGTTAAACGGTGGACTGAATGCCGGAGGCATTCACTACGAGTCAACCGGTGAGGATAAACAGAAAATTTGTAAGGCACTGACAATTATAGAGAATTAGCATTCTGACATAATTAATATTTACACACATGAGTATATATACACATATACATACATAAATATATTAAGAGAATACTACACATACAAACACACTAATACATAAATAAATATATACATATATACTAAAATAAACAAGGACATGTCAGATCAGAAAGTCAGGAAAGGTTATTGTTACCTTTTAGATAGTGTTCTCGAGCTTTTCTCTGGAATACTAACCTATTCGGAGTATTTCGTAGAGGTATTGCATTCCATAGTTGTATAGCAGTAAGAGAAAATTGGGAAACAAACATAGAATGATGAGCAGGAGTTTGAAGTACCAGATTAGAACTGGAGCGAAGTTGTCTTTGCTCATCAAAGTCAACTTCACTCCAGTTCTAATCTACCCAGGTATTGAAAACTAGATTTCAGATACACAGGTGCTTGGAACGTATAGAATTGCAAAGAGAGTGTTTACCATTCTTAATTTCCTACGTTCGCGTATAGGCAACCATTTAGGTGGTTACGAAAATCAGAGATGTGGTCATATTTACGTAAACCGAAAACGAAACGGATAGTGTTATTAAGAAGACGATCCAACTTGTCGAGAAATATTTGATTTAGTCATTATAATGCGACAAGAGTCCCATGAACACGGCAAGAGACATCGCCATATGGCCCTTCCATGAGAGGATACGGTCCAGGACAAGCCCTAGGCTTCTTACAGTAGAAGAGTAGGGCACACCATTATATGACACGGCGGAACATGAACGGCGCTCAGAATTAACCGGGAAATTAGACTGGGGCTTCCTATGATGATGGCCTGACATTTGTTAGGGTTAACTGTTATACCAAAACACTGTGACCGTTCCCATATTCGTTTGATGTTTTGATTTAGCTGCATAATAACCTTATCCAAGTATTTATTCTTGTCTTGTGTAGGGGAGACTGAGGCTACAATTAACGGAGGTAGGTATTAACAAGCAGATTTCTCTAAAACTCTACACACTACATATCCAGTGCGTAAATTAATTCGTTAACTAGACCACATAGCATCCTCCAGGATTAATCAGTTGCACTCGGTGTGCCGTGCATGTGAGTTATGTGCTGGGTGTCATTTTTAGGCTGGTAATGAACATTTTCAACTTTACCATTTTTTGATTTGTTCGAGAACGATAAGTATCACAACTAAGATTTTTATTTCCCTAGTTACAATTTTTATACTTTAAAATACTATATTGCTTAATTGATGGAACTATTAAAGAATATTTTATTATGTTATTTAGTACTCAAAATGTACCTTTGGTGTTATAATTAACAAATCACCTGGGTTTGTATTAACATGTTACTACTTACCCCGGATATGGGGGCTGAACAATTATTAAAATTAAAATTTTAAAAATTTTAAAATTTTCTGTTTTATTATTACGTTTTTTATTACATACCTTATTACGTTTTTATGGCAGCATGAGAACGTATAAACGAAAAAATACGCGAGGCACCACGTCTTTGGAGGTCTACTACTAGTTGGCTGCATAAGAAGTAGAAAAAAAGTGAATGCGCTAAGCCAAGCGTCAGAAAATAAACCGGAAGATAAAGAAAAAAATAGTTTAAAAGTGAGTACCGGAAGTAAAGGATCAAATGCGGTTCAACTTGCTCACAAAGGACTACGAATATTCTTTATCCGACTTAAAAAAAAGAAGAGGTAAAAAATTACACTGAATGTTTTTTGTGTGCATTTTCTACTATACGAGTAACTTCGTCATTAGTGAACTGATTGATATAACTCGTTTTTTTTTGTTTGATTTTATAATTATATCCAAATATGCAGAGACAGATTTTCATAAAATGCGCGATGGCATTTTTTTGAGCTCCCGAATACTAAGCTACAAGTCTGAAAAAGAGAAAAAGAAAAAAGTTATCTCTTATACTTCGTAGCGGCATCGAAATTTTGAAATATCATGAATAAATTCAGAAAATAAAACACATTTAGATAACTATATTTTTTATATTTGCTATAAACTTATTAAACCAATTTTGTACTAGAATAATTATTAAAGGAATAAAATTTCTTTATTTTGCAGTTATATTTATTGTTCTTAATCTCATTACTTTAAAAAATAAATATAACTGCAAAATTACTACAAAATGCGATGCACCGGTCGTTTGAGCTCAGTTTGTTTGGCCGCGCCTTTGTGATTTGAAATAAGTCTCTTAAAATTTGTCAATACAAATACTAAGATAAAAAATAAAATCGAAATTAAATTCATGCCTGCCATAAAGGAAGGACTCGAATATACATTGTAGCATCATCACCATCAGCCCTTTAAGACTCCGCTGCAGGGGCTCAGGCCTCTATGGATAGTTAAGGAGGACGGACCCAATGCGAATTGGACCAGCGTATTGGATTAACGACTGCAAGTGTAACCGGATCCAACAGTTTAAAGTGCTTTCGGAAGCACGGAGTAGCTCGAGATAATAGTAATTTTTTTGTCTACTCTAGCAGCAATAATAAGCTACAAAAATCTAAATTTTAATAATATAACTATAAGAAGTGCTTATTCATTTAAATTGTCTAACGTTTATCTATTAAATAAATATTATTGTCGTGGAAAAATTCCATAATTATGACGCATATATTGTGTTTTAGTTTTTATTATCTATTGAATAAACACTTGTTCGCCTTTATGGTTATTGACGTGAGTAACGTGATATACATATATGATATACCATAGAATGAATATTTAAAAACATACGGCCCGAGATTGGTATTCGAATAGAAACTAATTCGTGCTACCTCTAAGCCACTTAGACCATAACTTTTATAGCAGTTGCTCAATTCGACAGTATATTTTCTGTTTGTTACCTCTTTTTTTTTTACTGGGCTGACCGATTGATGATTCTTTCTTTATTTAAAAGCTAGTGCTTGCCATGTGGTCTTATTTTAATTTGTTATTATGGCATCTATGAGAAAACCACATAAGTCTTAAATTTGCATTAAGTATGCGTGGTGTTTGTTACCCCAAAACCAAATATCACAAAAATGCATGAAAAAAAAAACTTAAAAAAATAAAATGGAACCGACTTCAAATTTTAGAAAGTAAAAAATAATACTTATCTTAAAAGCGGTTAATTTTTTTCAGAAACTTTGAAATCGGGCGTTTAATATTTAATTAACTACAGAAAACCTCAGCCTGGCTTCAATGTTTCTTAAAAAATTTAACCGCTTTTAAGATTAATATTATATTTTCCTTTTTTAAATTTGAAATCGGTTTTATTTTTTACAAAGAACTAGCTTTTCGCCAGCAGTTTCACCTACGTGGTCCTTACGGAACTGTTTATTTGGATATCAATTCATATCATGACACGGATATAATTTCAATGACAGTTTGAATAGTAAATAATGGTTACTATGGTAACGTTTTAATTCCCTATACAAACTTCCACACTCATTTTCATCTCTTTATTTGCTGTTATTCAAGATAAAGTCCCGTAGGTGAAAGAATTTTTAAAATCGGTCCAGTAGTTTCAACCAAACACTAAAATCTTTTCTCTTTATAATATTAGTGTAGATATTTTAGATATTTAAGTACCATATTATGGACTGGTGCTATGTCATATTTTGTAAATGTAATGTCCTCTAAGGTATTGTGGATCGAAAAGTTTTATAGGCTTACTCGTTTATTTGTTTTTTAGTTTATTCAATAGTAATCATCTTTTGCAAGTGTAAGTGCGTCGTACCACACCGTCGATTTTGGCCTAGGTATCTACATCCAAACTTTTGTCTTTGATCTTTAACATTATTTCTTTTTGTTTGTTGTTACAGTTTTTTTTTTTATTATGACTATAAATATAACAACTTATCAAACCTAGTCGGCTGTTTCATTTTCCAACCAAAAACAGGCAACGAACCCGTCACTCAAGGTTATTAAGCATAAAGATTGTCGTGTCATACAATACTTTTGTCTAAATATTACTGATATTTGCTGTTATGGTTATTTAGTGTTTTTTTTTTTACCGTAGAATTCATATAAATTAACGGCAGACAAAAATTTTGTGTCATACGTTAAAATTGTACTGTTCGTAAGAATGTTATTAACAATATATGTGTTATATTGTTTTTTTTATAATGTCTGTGCAGACTTAGCACAAGAAAAGTCTCAACTTCCTGAAGACGGCAGATTAAATTTCACGGGACTAGCGACGAAATATGGATTAGAAACTGAAGAGTTTAACGTGATAACTGAAGATAATTACATCCTCACGTTATACCATATCCAAGGAGATAGTACAAAACCAGTTCTGCTGGCTCATGGCCTCATTGACTCCGCAGCGACATATATCATGAGAGGTAACAAATCATTAGCAGTCGCTTTGGCTCAAGAAAATTATGATCTTTGGTTTATGAATGCTAGAGGCAAAAAATATAGTAGAAGACATTTATACTTAGATGCTGATAAAGATAGGACTTATTGGGATTTCAGTTTTCATGAAATTGGTCTATACGACTTGTCTGCTAACATTGATTTTGTGTTGAACAAGATAAATCAAAGCCAGCTTACACTCATCGGATTTTCTCAAGGCAATCAGATATGGTATGTGTTGGGATCTATGAGACCTGAGTATAATGCTAAGGTAAAAGCTGTTATTGCATTAGCTCCAATAGCTTATATGAGCCATGCTCAAATACCAGGGTTACAGTCATGGCCACTGTTAAATCTTTATCTTAAAGCAAGTGGTTATGATGAAATTTTCGCAGAAAATTCTAAAATAACAAAAGCAATAGAAGCAATTTGCTCCCAAGTAGAAGTTGGTGCTGAATATTGTTTAAATGGGATAGTTTATCCAATATCCGGTTATGATCCTGTTGAACTGGGAACTGAATTCATGCCAGTTATTATGGGACATTGTCCAACGAGTACCGCTAGGAAAGTCTTGAATCATATGGCACAAGTAGCATTAAGTAAGAGATTCCAACTATATGACCACGGGATGGTGGATAATATGAAGATGTATGGTTCATTGGAGCCTCCTTTATATGCTTTGAAGAACATTACAACTAAAGTAGAACTCTTTGTAGGGCCTGGTGATTTGGTTGGAAAATTGCAGGATGTGAAAGTATTGCAAAATCTACTGCCTAATTCCTCGTATCACGAGATTGATATGGCCCTATGGAGTCATTTGGATTTCATTTGGGGCAAGGATATGGACTTATATTTATTTCCACTTATGTTGGAATTATTAAAGACGTATTATTTAAAATAGACTAATCTGAATGCAATATTTGTGACCTATATTATCACATACACCTATCGCATACGTAATATTTGTGACAAGGCTCTAATAATACATCTTCATATTTTAAGGCTCGACAAAACTTGTTAGGTGGTACAAAGTATTTATCCAACTCCTTTTAAGAATACCAGTCGAAAGTTAGTGTTTATACACACCTGACCGACACTGACAGCGTTTAATACTTCTCGAAGTTATTATGGTAAGCCTCAAGAATTTACAAGACATTTCACTACTTCAGTAGTAGAATATCAGCAGTTAGTAAGTGTTATTAATACCTTACAATTGCTATTATTGATTTTTGCCTCTAAAAGCTATAAGATAAAGTTATAAATGGTTTCGATAAACTTTATGCTTTCGTCTTAAGTGATATTTTTTCTTTATTACTGTTATTCCTCTGGAAGGTTTAATTATTTATAACTAATCACACAAAAGAGTCAAATGTTGCTGTAAGAGTTCTTATATTCTATATATATATATATATATATATATATATATATATATATATATATATATAAATGGCTGCCGTAAGCACTTAAATGTTTGTTGGGTTACCAAACAGTTGCCATTATAAATATAAGAACAATATAAATCACAATTGCTTGATTGATTTAATTTCTCTCGTCTCTTTACTCACATCTGATTTTTTCGATTTTAAATTGAGGTTTTGTGGGAACTATTGAAAACTATATAAAGGTTAATATATAATGAATAGACGGCTAGCCTTATAATATAATATCTCCATTAATTTGCACAGTATAATGTCGATCAACTGAGTAAGCATCACAGCGTCTTTCTACAGTGTGGATGTACAAAACTCAGGGAACTGGTTAACTGTCAAGGATCATGATACGAAACTCAATTATAAATTTTATATCCCGCATGTGGTAATTCTATTTTATTTATTTAACAAACTTTACTGACAAAACTCAGGGAACTGGTTAACTGTCAAGGATCATGATACGAAACTCAATTATAAATTTTATATCCCGCATGTGGTAATTCTATTTTATTTATTTAACAAACTTTACTGACCATCGAATAGGAAGTTATTTAACATATTTAGGATAAGGTTTTAGGAAGAGGGATAACATAAGCTTTATGCCAAAGTAGAGGAAAGTGAGCAACTTGGAAAGAGAAATTCACAATATGTGTTATAACTTGAAGGACGTAATTTAAAATGTTGATAATCATGTCTCTCACATCCCTAGGTCACCTCTTTACATCCCTTTGACTTGATTGAGATGATGATTTTCCGTATAGTATCGGTTGACATTGGAGAAAAGGAAACATAATCAGAATGAGATTGGCTCTTGGAAGTAATTACATTGATAATGTTAGATTTGGTGAAAGATTCCATAGTGGAAAAGAAGAAAAATAATTATTAAAATCATTAAGAGACAAGGGGTGAGTCTGAGATTGCGAGGAAGATTTATCCAAATCCAAGGTGCGAAGAAACTTTCAAATACTATCTTAAGAAGAATTTGTGATACTGTCGTGAAAATATTGACTTTTAACTGTTCTTACCATTCGATTACATCGATTACGTGCCCTCTTGTAGTGACTCCACCTATCGCGCTCGAATGTATCTCAATGAGATTAATGTTTCTCAATTAATATTTAGTCATTTTATAATAATAGAGGTTTTGACAGAAAAGTTGGACAGTGCCGTACTTAAATTCGAAGATATTTCGACCTAAACACTGAATAAAGTTATATGACAAATTTATTACCTATATTTAACTATGTTTCTAAAATTATATATTTTCAAAAAAGTCTAGCTGATCTTCTTGTACCCCACGCTGTCTTTGATCTTTGAACGAAATTTATTTTTTTATATTCTTTTTTGTTTGTTGTTAGCCTTTTTTTTATTTAGACTATAAATATACTAGCTTATTAAGCCTAGTCAATCGTTTCATTTTCCAACCAACAACAATCCACGAACCTGTCACGCAAGGTTATAAAGCATACAGGTTGACGTGTATACAGTACTTTTGTCTAAATATTACTGATATTTGCTGTTATGGTTATTAAGATTTGTTTGCTGAAGTATTCTTATAAATAATGGCAGATTAAAATTTTGTATCATACTTTAAAATTGTACTGTATTCATAATTATGTTATTGACAATATATGTGTTATATTGCTTTTTTTATAATGTATCTGCCGATTTAGCACAAGAAATAAAATCTCAACTTCCTGAAGACGGCAGATTAAATTTCACGGGACTAGCGACGAAATACGGATTAGAAACTGAAGAGTTTAATGTGATAACTGAAGACAATTACATTCTCACGTTATACCATATCCAAGGAGATAGAACAAAACCTGTTCTGCTGGCTCATGGTCTCATTGACTCCGCAGCGACATATATTATGAGAGGTAACACATCATTAGCTATCGCTTTGGCTCAAGAAAATTATGATCTTTGGTTTATGAATGCTAGAGGCAAAAAATACAGTAGAAGACATTTATACTTAGATGCTCATAAAGATAGGACTTATTGGGATTTCAGTTTTCATGAAATTGGTCTATTTGATTTGTCTGCTAACATTGATTTTGTGTTAAGCAAGACAAATCAAACCCAGCTTACACTCATCGGATTTTCTCAAGGCAATCAGATATGGTATGTGTTGGGATCTATGAGACCTGAGTATAATGCTAAGGTAAAAGTCGTTATAGCATTAGCTCCAATAGCTTATTTGAGCCATGCTCAAATACCAGGATTACAGTCATGGCCACTGTTAAATCTTTATCTGAAAGCAAGTGGTTATGATGAAATTTTCGCAGAAAATTCTACAATAACAATAGCAATAGAAGCCATTTGCTCCCAAGTAGAATTTGGTGCTGAATATTGTTTAAATGGGATAGTTTATCCGATATCCGGTTATGATCCTGTTGAACTGGGAACTGAATTCATGCCAGTTATTATGGGACATTGTCCAACGAGTACCGCTAGGAAAGTCTTGAATCATATGGCACAAGTAGCATTAAGTAAGAGATTCCAACTATATGACCACGGGATGGTGGATAATATGAAGGTGTATGGTTCATTGGAGCCTCCTTTATATCCTTTGAAGAATATTACAACTAAAGTAGAACTCCTTGTAGGACCTGGTGACCTGCAAGCAAATTTTCAAGATGTGAAAGTATTGCAATATGTACTGCCAAATTCTTCGTATCACGAGATTGATATGGCCTTATGGAGTCATTTGGATTTTGTTTGGGGCAAGGATATGGACTTATATTTATTCCCACTTGTGTTAGAGTTATTAAAGACTTATAATTTAAAATAGACTAATCTGGATGCAATATTTGTGACTTTGTCTTAACAGTTCGGTCAAGACATTATTTTTTTATAAACTATAATGTACATATTATAATATGTTATTAGTGTATATTAAGACATTAAGTATATAATTATAGCCCATTAATTACCAGAAAAACAATAGCGTTAACGATATCTATTTTCTTCTTATGGTTCTTGCATTCTAGTGAAAACTTCACTAACTATGTCATTCACCACTTGACCAAATTTTTTGTTGGCAGTGGTACTGGTAAACTTTATAAAGGTATTTGTTTCGAATTTCAAAAGTGGCTAGCCGTAATTGTGTATCGTGCATGAAAAAAAAAAGATATAAGAAAGGTCAGTGTATTATTTTTCTTAGTATGATGTGTTATTTGATATATGAACATAGATCTAGATCATAGATTTTATAAATAATGCAGGTAATTTTGTGTTTTTGCTGTGAAATTAGCGCAGATAAAGTATTTTGTTTCTTTGCATTGATGTGACACTGCTTATTGTTTTTTTTAAATACCTTGTGTTTAAGCCGAAAAAGATATTGAAACCTATTTAGAAAACATACCATCTGATGACGAAAGTCTTTTCAGCGTGTTTTAAATATTTACTAATGACGTCACCCAACAATATAGTAGGTTATCGTACAGGTATAGGTTATAAATCGTGAGTTTCTTGGCCGGACTCTACGCTGCAAAGAGATTTCTTCATCAGACGGTATGTTCTCTAAATAATTAACAACTGCCATCAGCAAGAACGAACCACATCGAGAAGTTGCGCCAAATGCAGTACAAATAGTATTGTAGTACATATTGTTTGTAAATGTAAAACTTGTAATGTCCACACAGTGTGTTTGTGTTTGTGAAACACAGTGTGTTTGTGAAAAGGGAAAACCTGCTTTCAAGGTTTTCGTGAAAAATAATCTACCTGCCCATTACTAATAGCTTCGTAAATTTATTAAGAAATAAAACCATTTTAGAATTTTTAAAAGGTTGATTTATTTTACAGTGTTGGTAGTTAGCGTCGCTAACCATGTTGTGACGCTAACCATGCTAACCAGGTTCGATGCTTGGCCAAATGAATGAAACACTGAATAATCTCGAGAACTTGATTTATTTACGGTAATAAAGAAAAAGAAAACTGTAACATACAAAAAATGAATATAAAAACAGTTCGTATGATTACATAAATATATAATTACAATTATTAAATAGAACAAATACATACCCCTTTTTGGGTTTGCTTTTAAATATATAAATTATTTAAGACATTGAAACTTTATAAGATATTCACTCTACACTTTTTTAATTTTAACGGGTTATATAAATATTTTTAAATAAAATCATATGTTATGTATGGATGAGTAAAATATTTTTTACGAACTGACAATCATAAAGAGAGGAAAGAGAAATTAAGAAATGTGAATTATAAAAAGAAATGATATTGAAGATCAAAGACAAAAAAGTTTACATGCGAAAATCTAGGACGAAATAAACGGTGGTACGGCACTACCGAGGGGCCGGGGTAAAAAGAAATCTCAAGGATTTATTTTAGATATTCTTGGGTTAAACAAGTTTAAAATATTTAATATAAAATGTGATTATTTATTCTATCATGAGTTAATTTAGAAATGGGGATGGTTTATATAGTGGATAAATTACATTAGCTGATTTTCCTTTCATAGTTCCTTCGATAAAACGTCTTCACTTCATCATTCAAGCAATCTTTATCTCATTGTGGTAAAAATTTCTGGCGATTAGAGGTTACTTGTATTTAAGAAAGATTATTTTTAATAAATAAACCTAGAAAATAGTGTGGGCTTTTAAAAAAAAACACCCGTACCACCCGCTGGTATTATATGAATTGTATAGTGTTGTTGAGTGTGGATGAGTGTGTTGTGTAAGTGCCTAAGTGAAGAGAATAGAATTATACACAATCTTAGTAATAAATACAATATTAGTCGGTAATACATAAGTATAAAAATACATCACGTGGTGATAGATAATAAGTACATAAGTAAATAAGTGTACATAAGTACACAAAAAAATGATATTGGCTTATTTATAGTATTGTCATCCGCACTAGATGAATAAATAAATTATGAAGACAACTAACAAAAAGTATGAGTAGCCAAATAGTTAACTGAGTACGTTATGAATATTTATAGCGTAGTAACAATAAATAAATAAGTAATAAATAGTAACAATTAAGATATGGGTTTAATATTTTGAATGTGCCAGCGTCCTAAAGGTTTATTTGACAAATCTGCTAAAGCATAAATTAATCGACTGACTTTGTTAGATATGATACGTTTCGTAAATTAGGTGCTAATTTGGATGAAAAACATTTATCTGAAGAACCAATAGGATAATATTTCTTCCAAATTATGTTGCCTTTTTAGAATTCAAGATGTTGGTGGTATTTATTATAATAATTTTATGTGCTTTGTAAAGTCGTGAGTGTACATCTGAAAAAAATAGGATTAAGAAGCCCATATAAAAATAATTTTCAGCATATATGTCTCTATGAGCAGCAATTATTTCTTCAGTTAAATCTTTTGTAATTAATATGGAACCACAGGTAACTAATTCACGTCCGAATACTAAAAATGCTGGCGTGAATTTAGTAGTTTCATCGACGGCAGAATTTATTGCGAATAGGTTTTTACATAATTTTATTCCTAGCACATGTGTACAAACCGTCTTGGTTTCTCTTCATGGCTTAGTTTAATTAACATGTTAAATAATTTTTCTTAAAGTGTAAATAAATTAAAAAAAATATATAAATCCCATGTACGGTGATTGTCGTCAACAAAAGAAGAGATCGCTGTAACTATAGTTTTATTGTAACGTTCAATTGTATTTACTTGTTGACAATATTTGCGAGTAAAAAATATTTTGGGTATCTTCTAAAAATTAAATAAATCTTTGAGTTCTTGGCCAATCATTTGAGGGCCATTGTCTTAAATTATAGTTTCAGGTATTCCATAAGTCATAAATACTAAATTGTCGAGAATATGTTTAATAATAGAAGGAATAGCGCGTTTGATAGGGTAAATTAGGCAATATTTTGAAAAACAACAGTAAACTACAAATATAAACTTGTTAAGTATATGAGAAATTGGTAAAGGGCCAATCATAAAGAGCATATTGGATTAGTCAAAATTTCAAATTACGGAAGGTAAATAATAAAAAGAAATAAAAGATCAAAGACAAAAAAGTTTGCATGCGGAACCCTAGGACGAAATAAACGGTGGTACGGCACACCGTTACAATGTTATTCCCGAAAAACCTCCGGGAAAATATTTTTTCCAAGATAATTTTTAGTATCGACATTCCCTATACAAATGTATGGAAAAATAATGAAACCTGTATTTAATATAAAGTGCTCCTCAAGGACATAAATAAAAAAATATTGAAATTTTAATTACATTATGTTAAATAAACCGTTGTTATAACTAGAAAGGGTTTTTTCTATTTTTGTTTCGTTTTAAAATACATCTTTCGATCAATGTGCAAATACAAAGTTTAACGACCATGTGAATTATACATATGTGTTAATTAATTGTTGCTAATTATTTCCTGCAACGACTATTTACATTTGTTGTATAAGTCAGTGTTTAAAATGAATACGGTTTCGTTTTTTGTTAGCAGCTGTGGTGTGTGGACTCATTATGTTTTTAATAATTGTTATAAATATTTTGTATTGTATCATATACAGTGTTGGTGTAGATATTATAAATTCTGGTCTTTCGGAAGATGGGAAACTAAACTTCACTGAGCTCACAAATAAATATGGACTGCAAGCCGAAGAGTTTGATGTGATAACTGAAGACAGTTACATTCTCAAATTGTTTCATGTCCAAGGAGACAGAAAAAAACCTATATTGATGGCTCATGGCCTTATTGATTCGTCTGATGCATATATATTAAGAGGAAACACATCATTGGCTGTCGTTTTGGCTAAAGAGGGATATGATCTTTGGTTTATGAATGCTAGAGGTAAAAAGTATAGTAGAAGACATTTATATTTAGACGCTGATAAAGATACGACTTATTGGGATTTTAGTTTTCATGAAATTGGACTATACGATTTGTCTGCTAATATCGATTTTGTGTTGAATAAAACCAACCAGGCTCAGCTAACACTCATTGGATTTTCCCAAGGCAATCAGATATGGTATGTGTTAGGATCTATCAGACCTGAGTACAATGCTAAGGTAAAAGCTGTTATCGCACTAGCACCAATAGCTTATATGAACCACGTTAAAGTGCCATTATTAGCAGGATGGCCACCGTTAGATGTTTTCCTTAAAACAACCGGCAATGAGGAACTTTTCGGATATGATTCTTTATTGAATAGAGCAGCGCGAACTGTTTGCACGAAAGTGAGGACGGGTGCTGAATATTGTTTAAATTTTTTTATTTACCCAATATCTGGTAGAAATCCTGAAGATTTGGAGCCTGAATTTATGCCAACTTTTATGGGTCATTGTCCAACAAGTACTGCTAGGAAACTTTTGAGTCATATGGCACAAGTAGTGGTAAGTAAGAGATTTCAGCAATACAGCCACGGAATTACGGGGAATTTGAAAGAGTATGGTACATTGAAACCACCATTATATCCTTTGTATAATATTACAACCAAAGTGGAATTACTTGTTGGACTAAACGATCTGCAAGCAAATGTTGAGGATGTTCGAATACTGCATCAGCTGCTTCCTAATTCATCTTACCATGAGATCGATAACAAACTTTGGACTCATCTAGATTTTGCTTTTGGGAAGAACATGTACATACATTTATTTCCACTAGTGTTGGATTTGTTAAAAAAACACAATTGAAATAGAACGTTGACGTAATAAGGCTGTAATATTACGATATTATGTTTTGTTATTTGGCATTTTAGTTAATAATGTCGCAGTATCATAAACGTATATTTGTATCTAGTTTGCCTATTCCGTCTTATTATAAACGTTCACATCACTAATGGTAGCTAACTAACCTAAAGAAATTATGCCTAAACAAATATTATTGTAATATCAAGGAAAATATTACTTTGAAAATCAAAACACCTACCAAGAAATATTAAGTACAAACGCATATTTTGGTGTATATTTAGTTAAGTAATTGTTTATGTAATTTTGTCATAAAGGAATGGGAATATGGAAATATCGTTCTTATTATTTATTTTAGTTTCTTTGATTTCAGCATAAACCTTTTAAAATATTTTCTAAAATCCAAAGTATTATTTATTTATTTTAGAAAACGTAATGTAAATATTAATTCAGTGTCGCACATAAGTTTTGATGGTACATAAGTGTGGCCACAAATAGCCAATATGCGAATTTATTATTGTGGAAGAGTTTAAAAAAATAAGCAAAACTTATATCATATTTACATACATCAGGAAAATTATAAAAAGAAATAAGTAAAAGTGATTAAGAATCTTATTTGCCATTGAAATATACAACAAAGTATTGTAACAGGTAATGTATTTTACAGGACAGTTGTATAACTGTATTATTATAAAATATCCTATATTATAAGAGCTGCTGGCTATATTATATGATATTTTATACCAATAGAATATTTGGGATTCTCTGCAGTCCATTTTTAACATTGCCTAGTTTGAAACCAGGGGGATCCTTATATCACCAGGGGCTTGTTGTCTAATTTAAAAATCTATCGCATTCTCTTTAAATTTTATTTGACATTGAAAGACATTCGTGAACTTCACGCTTACAACACTTGTGATAGCAATTGCGATTGTGACGTTTTTTAAAGAGATTCAATGAGCGATAGTGTAAAATTGAAATTATTTGGAATTGTCTCAAATATATTTGAGGCTTATTGAGAAATGTCATACGAAAGATGTTGTTACTATTATGTTTATTGATAATTTAAGTCATAATATATTCCAAAAGTTCTTTTTTGTTTTTATTGGTGCGACATTTATAGGTTAATTTGTTCTACGTTCGCAGTACCTACATATTTGATGGACATAAGTAATAATATAAAAAGGAAAGCAAAACGTAACAAACCCACGCCCTTTCGCAATCCGGACGACTGCTCTAACCGCTGATCTACCCAGGACCTAAGAGGACTGACGAATCTTTCAAGCACTTGTTACTCTTCGCTACTACAGTGCGTATTCTCATCAATGTTTTTATTGACGAGCTTTTTCCCCGCGACTTTGCCTGCGTAAAGTATAGTCTGTGTAAACTGCGTATAACGTAGTTTCTCGTGGGTGAAAGCATTTTTAAATCTATGATTTTATGAACGTCTTTTAGTCTTAACTGCCAACTATTGTTTTGTACAAACTATTATTTTGGTTTACTGGGACAGAATGCCTCAATGGCATTAAATCCGCCATTTGTCTTTAGACAATAAAGCGTAAGATAAAATATAAATAAATCGGTCCCGTAGTGTCGCAGTCCCTTCGTCACAAACAAATAAACAATCCAATCTTTCCTCTTTGTAACATTAGTAGTGTCAAAACGTGTTAAATTGCTAGTTTATAACCGACTACAAATTTTAAGACGATAAGTCTAAATAATAATTATTATTTATAGTAATGATAAAATTTACAAAGGTGACACAAAAGAGATGTGTGGGGTGTGTTAGCGATGTTCCGATGAAGAGGGCGTGGGTCGGCGGCGAAGTTCCGTTGATGATGCTGAAGTGATGAAGTGGCTTGATGTCGGCTCACGGGGACGGCGTTAACCTCAGCAGTACTGAGCGGTATCGTTGATTTGATGCTAAAGTCTCGGAAAGGCGTCGAGCGGGAGGTCGTTCGGTATCTCGAACTGAGCCTCTTGGTGAAGTTGGCCTCCAGGACACTCCAGGATTAGGTTGTAGATGGTGTAGAAATGAATGTGGTAGACGGTGAAGTAATTTAACTGTCGAAGTTAGGGTTAAAATTGGAAGGTAGTCTTACGATTTCGAGACCTTAACTATAACGTGTTCCCGGGGCAGTTGGCTCTGGGAAATACATCTATTTTGAATTGAGATAGCTCAGGGCGAGATTAAAAAGCTTGCTTTAGCAACTGTTGCCGTAGAAGTGATTTTAAGACCTAACTACCTGGGCTTTTGATAAGGCTTTATATACCCGAAGGTCGGCTCAAATTTGGAAGCGGACAATTTCAATTTAGAACCCTAAATATTCAAAAGCTTAGGTTGAATACCTAATAAAAATGACAAAGTGTGAGTCAAATTTTAAAAAGAGTATTTATTAGACGTACTCATGACAACGAAGAAATAAATTTTCAAAACTATCATATAAATAAAGAATTAGCGATAAATTAAATATGAAATTGTTAAAAGTATTAAGAAAAACAATGAAAGCTACAGATAAGAGTTAATATTAATGTATTAGTAGAAAAAACATCGGATGAAAGTTCGTCGAGGTTTGGATAAACTTAAAGGAATTCTAACGTTTACATGGCATGGAATGGACAGGATGAAGAATATTATTGGAATAAATCCCAAAGCTAATGGATATCAAAAACAAGATGAAGAACATTAGTGATGAGCATCCAAAGTATGTGATTGCAGGTCAGTTACAACAAACTGTCTAGTCTTGCAATACTGTGAATACTTTACGATTAACCCTGTATTTTTGCAAAATTATTCAAGATAACATTTTATGCGATAAACAAAATGTTTTCAAATAGATAAGTATTGAACTATTTATTATTGCTGATAAGTTAAAACCGCTATCACTAAGTTACTAAAAGACTTGTTTTTCAATGTCTAATGTTAAATATTCACTGTAACACAGGTAAATAAATAATCGAAATTTTTTTCCACTTGGTTTTAAACCTTAATACATTGGCGGAATAATACACAATCAATTGCAGAAATTTGACATATTGTGTGTTAGGTGGCGTGTAGCCGTGTGTACCTACGAATGATGAATTAAAGTAACAATGTGATAAGACAACTGAACTGATAATACGACATTGTCTAGTTATTATTATAATGTTAACAAACCATGAAAATAAAATACGTAAGTATTTACGTATGGAATAACAATTACATATTGAGTTACTACATAGCGTATGAAACAAATTCCGTGGCCCTTTATGTCAGGAGTCAAAATGAACGTGAAAAGACTAGTGTGTGTGCGCGTGTGCCTGCGTGCGTGCGTGCGCGCGCGCGCGTGTGTGTGTCTGTTGTATGTTGGAATGAGTGCATGTGTGTATATCGTTTGTATTACATTGTAAATGAATAGAAGAAATAGAAATAGCACGTGTAGTACGTAACTTTAATTTTACCAACCCAAGACTTCACATTCGTGATAACGCAATATTTTAGCTATTTAATGATGTAAGTGTACGTAGTTTCAATTTTGACAGTAGGAATAGAAAGTATACGTTTACGTATACTATACTAAAGCGTATGCCCCCGACTTCGTCCGCGTGGTATAGGTACTTACTTCTAAAAACGCTAAAACAAATGTTATTCATATCGGAATATGATTTTATCTTTGACAATGATAAACTTCAATACAAACTTTAAAACTCTATTTCAACCTTTTTGTCACAATAAAAGGAACATTAGTATGACCCATCACTAGTCAACTATTTTTAGTAGGCTAGCGTGAGAGCTTAACAGACGTATGCAGACCTACTTTCGCTGTATTATATTGGTATGGAATAATCAATCGATTTTCTTTGTCACCCAATATATCATAGAATAAGAGATTCCTAACTTTTGGTTATAAGTGAAGTGAGTTTCGGAATTACATTTTGGTTTTAAGAATAAGTGCTACATGAGCTGCTTAAGAGAATTTTAAGAGCTAAAGAGTCTGTAAAGGCTCTAACAATCGAGTAAAAAAGCGTTATGTATCTCTCTTATAACCCTGGTTCAAGTTTTTTGATTTTAGAGCTTAAAGTGATTTAATGGTTAGAGTAGTAATAAATGAGTGATTAAGAAGAGTAAGAACATTGCTATTTCAGCAGTGGTTACCATGTAAAGTATAAAGTATATTATGAGCTATACACAGATTATAACTGCAAGTTATAGTAGCAAACAAGTAAAGGAAACTTCTTTAATGAATTCTTTGGTTACTTATGGTTACTTCTGCATAGTAAGAAATCATCTATAAATCTCGAGGATGTAACGTCGTAATATAATTAATGGTTAAACGAACTTACCTCAAGTGATGTTTGACCATAATTATATGAGACGTTACATCCGAAGAGATTTATAACCCACCCTTCCCATGGTTTTCTTCCCATTTCCCATTATTTTAGAGATGAACTCGAGTACCTATTTCATAATAGGGTTGAGTGATTTCGAAGAAAACCATGGGAAGGGTGGGTTATAAATCTCTTCGGATGTAACGTCTCATATAATTATGGTCAAACATCACTTGAGGTAAGTTCGTTTAACCATTAATTATATTACGACGTTACATCCTCGAGATTTATAGATGATTTCTTACTATTGTTGATGGGTAAAAGTCTTAGTGCAGATGACCGCGTCATGCGCTTTCTTAAGGGAGTCTTCAAAAAGGAACCAAATTATCCAAGGTACCAATCAACCTGGAATCCTAACCTTGTTTTAGAACTGGTGGGCATATGGTACCCTAATGAATCTTTGCCTTTGAAAAAACTTACCAAAAAGCTAGTAGTTTTGCATGCGTTGGCGACCGCTCAACGAGTACAGACGCTGTCATTAATTCGTTTATCCAACATCAGAGTCACTGAGTGCGCCGTTGAAATAACTATCACAGATGTAATTAAAACTACGGCACCTGGCCGTTCATTACCGAAACTGACAATTCCCTTTTTTTTCCCATTTCGTTTTTAACCCGTTATGTAGGCTGTAAAGAATC